AAAAATTGACTCCGGCACAGCTCCAGCATCGGGAAGAAATAGGATCGGATCCACTTTTGCTGGATTGCTGTCCGCTCACTGCYGCCGTGCACAGCCAGTGTAAATACTCTCATTGATTAATGGGTGCGTATTTGCTGCGGAGGTCGGACCAGAGCGGAGCGGAGCCGGACCACATGTAGTGTAAATTAGGGGTAAGGGAGAGTCCAGACACCCTGCAGTGGAAACTCATTTCGGCCACTTGTATCCGCAATCTCGTTCTTTCGKTCACTACTCAAAGCTCGTGACCATAGATGAGGGTAGGAACGTAGGCTGACCGATAAACCGAGAGCTTCTCCTTCTGGYTCAGCTCTCGCTTCACCATGACAGACCAGTACAGCGCCCGCATCACTGCAGACGCAGCACCAATCCGCCTGTCGATCTCTCGCTCCACTCTTCCCTCATTCGTGCACAAGACCCCGAGATACTTTAACTCCTCCCCACCCGGAGGCGGCACGCTACCCTTTTCTGGCTCAAGACCATGGTCTCGGATTTGGAGGCACTGATCCTCATCCCGGCCGCTTCACACTTGGCTGTGAACCACTCCAGTATCCCCTCAACACCTTAGCTCCTAGAAATTCTGCCCATAAAAGTTATGAACAGAATCGGTGATAAAGGGCAACCTTGGCGGAGTCCAACTCTCACCGGAAATGAGATTGACTTACTACWGGCTAGGGCTGCGCAGTAWATGCGGTAGATGATAGAAATGGTATGAAGTTGGCCTAAGGTAGAAATTTACCCTCTGCCGTCATATCGTCATTACGTCATCGGACCTGGGTCAACAGGGCTGTGAGTGCAGAGACAACTGAGCAGGAGGAGTTCGAAATATAATGAAGAAATTCTAGCGTTTTAAAACACATATAGAGAGGATAAATCCTCAAAATATCCCCCTCCCGCTGTAGAAAAGTTACGTCGTGTTGCAGGATCATAATCTCTTCCTCCCTCTCCTCCTCTCCTCTCCTCTCCTCTCGCTGCATGTCACACAGAGCAAATCTTTAACAACTGTACCTTTTCCACACCCAATTGTCGGAGAAAAACTTGTTTTTTTAAAGTATTGTTACTCACAGAGATGATTTAAAAAAAAGACATGGACATTCGTTCAGTAATAAATCCATCTTGCTAATGTAAAGTTGGCTTCTGCTCTGATGATGAAGATGATCGCGCAGCAGCTGATAGGCAGAAGCTCATTGTTTGGCAGGCAGATATTAAAGCAAAAATGCTGGGTTTGATTAAGATTACAGTTCTCTGCAAAATAAATGCTCTAAAAATTACATTATCTTTACTTTTTATGATAATTTTCTACCGCGATATATACTGTTACTGTAAAGGGGTGCCAGTTTATACCGTGATATGAATTTGAGGTCATACCGCCCAGCCCCACTACCGGCAATGCGGACCAAGCTCTGGCACCAGTCATACAGGGACCTAACAGCCCATATCAAAGGGCTTGGTACCCCATACTCCCGGAGTACCCCCCACAGGAGTCCCCGAGGGACAAGGTCGAACACCTTGTAAAAAGTCCAATATCTGTGTTCAGATGGCAGTGGCAGATGCAAGCTTTTAGGTCTTTTCCAACGCCTTTTTTCAGTGTGGCGACACCTCAGGACATCCCCAGGGCACCATGCCGTTCTTTGGGTTTGCTGAGATTTAACAGACATTTCTCTGAATGAGCTTTTGCTTTCAAATACACTAGAAAGGCCTACTAGTCAATCAGAATCAGGGTGGGGGCGGGCTTCGAGTCTTAGCAAAACCTCAGTCCAGCAGTGAGCGTGCACGAAGCATGAACCACGATTTTTATGAAGCCCGAAGAAGACACAAAGAATAAACTGTGCTGGTTTGGATAGAGGAGTTGGGTATATTTTCCAGCTTCACTAAGTGATGACACAATCCGTAACTTGTTTTGTGGACTAACATTTTTTGTTGTTGTTCTTGAGGTGGAAGCAACAAACAAAAGGTTTTTAGACCCAAAAGTGCTGGTCACAATGAAACAATTTCCCCTACACAGACACCCACTCTCCTCTTTCATTCTTAAATTTTCTGTCCTCTTTTCTTTTTTTTTCCAGCTCTCTAGCTAACTGTTACTAAGCAACAGCTCACACCCACCCATGTGCATAAGAATAGTTCAGTCAATGAAATATATTTATGTAAGATGGAAAAGGATCAAGCAAAACCTTATATAATTGCCATTAAGGAGGTTTTTTATGTGTATTGTGATGAAAGGGAACAAAAAAGCAGTTGCGTATGTTGAGCTCACTTCCTGTTCTTCTCATAATGTTGTGTTCTGGTCAAATTGCTATGAGATTATCGTGGTATTTTAAACAATATTTGCCTCATAAATGCAGCCGTGTTCACCAAATTGAAGAAAATTGAAGGGGGAGTAAACATCTGCAAAAAAAAATAATAATAATAAACTGCCTCAAGGACATCAGAGTACAGAGGGTGGTTTATAAGAATGGATGCTGCAGGTGACCACTGAATAATAGGTTGGGCAGAAGAACAAAGAGAGAACAAGAGACGGAAACAAAGAGATGTTTGCCGTGAAAACACAATCAAATATTCTTTCATGTTCTCTCAGTCATGCATACCCAACTACAGAGCCGGTACAAGCTGAGACCTGCAGAGCGAGGGCATGTGCAGCTCGTTTAGCTCTGCCAGACGGAGGACAGACAGGACTGGTTCTCTGCTGCTCYACCAGTTCCTGTTTGTCCAAAATGACACAACAAAAACGAGGGGAAGGCAGCTGGGTCAAAAAAAACAACAACTGATTTCTACCTGCTTGGGTCATGCAACATTTACGACAGATTTGTTGCCTCTTTTGGAAGAAAAAAAGAAAAATTGGGAGATTTTATGCTTTTAAAAGAGAGTCACTTCATAATTATATCTGTTGAAACCATCTAACACCCTTTATGCTCCACAGTGATGTTAGTATTGTRATTACACTCTTGGTGTAACATTCAGTGTTTTCTTACAGGCAATATTTTCAGAGAAATGTGAATTTTCAGCACGCTGTCACTGAAACCTAAAGTAAAACAGTGATCYGATTACACCATGTTTTGTTTTTTTTACAAGAGGCACTTTCAGCAAGCCCTGTGGTCTAATCTTCAAATGATCTTTGTGCTCTACGATCTAAACCAGACTAACATGTTGTTCCAAATGTTTAAATAGTGATGTAAAGAGAATACAGGGAACTGTGACCCTTCAACAAACCTTAGCTAATAAACAACTGCATGAGATCAAAACCAAAATATAAAGTCTTGGAATTTTAATGGCTTCATATTTTATTACAATTAAAAGGCCTAGAAGTTACCTAAAGTAATATCCTCTGTCTTGCATGTCAGAGTTTTGGATCAACAGATATTTAGAAACGACAGCCTTTTTTGGTCGTTTTCAATATCACAAAGTGTCACACTTCGAATATGTGTTGTTAATGACTCTCAGCTACAAACACACCAAATTTTAGCAAAATAGCTATAAAACTGACTGAATTTTAGGCTTATTTCGTGTTTTCTAAGCTCGGTTGGCTGTGGCGGCAATAAGGGGTATAAATCACCAGCTTTTAATCACAATATGAAATTATATTTATATACTGTCTATATATATTTTTTGATGACAACATGATGTTTCTCGATATCACAAAGTTTATATGTGTCCTGTGTTTAACTGATATAATCGATGTGGACTGATGTATTGTTATAACCGTAGAGGCCATCTTGAATTGGGTAGACTCCAAAAGTTAATCAGTAACTTATTTCATGAAAGTTTTATTAAAATGCGTCTTAGTGGTTCATGAGGTATTTTGCCAACAGACAAATGCATAAAATATGATCAACGACATTATGGCCCACATTGTCCCTTTCGATGCAGGGGATAATTATGGCATTTTCTCCCCTTATGACCCAGAAGAACAGCTTGTCTATYGTGGAAATTTTCCAAACGACAATCGTTATAAGAAGAAAGTTGAGCATCAGAGGAAAAAAGGGGGGAGGTGAATGAAAGAGTTCTGCTGCTCCTTCTCTTTCCGACCTTTTATCCGTGCCATCCATCACCACTGAAGGGAGATTTCAAGCAGCAGAGTGCATGTCTGCCTCTCTGACTTTATGTTCTCCCCGTCAGCTGGCTCAGTCTGTGGGCACCGACACAAACATKGCGTGTGAAATATAAAGAAAGGAGGGGGAAACGTCTATGCGAGGTAAAGAAAGCATAAACAAACAAACAGGGAAACAAAAACTGAAAATTAACTTTTGTCTCCCCAGCTCCCACAGCTGTGAGGGTTGGTACACGGACAGAGCGAGCTCCTTCAGAGGGTGGACAAGAGGCCAGACAGCTGGATCTGAGCCCAGTATATAAGCTCTGCTCCTTCACCTGCTGCCTTTCAGCCAGCATGGCCACCACTGCTGCCACATCTATGAGCTGAAAAGCTTCACCCTCCAACACTGCTTTAGCCTTCACACATTCACTCATGAATGAGTCCCACATGGTGTTAATGCATAGTATCAAAACAGTGGGGGGAGCATTATTTTCCATTTAAATTTAAATATTTGGGTAAAATATCCTCACTGTGTCCATATTTTCTTATATACTGAGCTCATTTGCAAGCCACATCCAAAAGGACCATCAGGTGATTTTCCAACAAATGTGTTACAGCTTTATAAAAAGTGTTACAAAAAAATGTATAATGATGATCAAAAAAAAAAACACGTTATGTCCGAAAATCAGTGCAAGAAAATGGAAGGAGCTGACAAATGGGCAGAGAAACGCCATCTTCCTGATTAACATGTGCGACTCAGACATAATAAATCACAACATCCTTCCATTTTTCATGCTGATGTCACTACAAATTCATCATKAGCCAAGTCTGCAGCTGTGTATTACAAAATAAACAAATAAAAAAAAAACATGCAAAAGAAGGTGTGCCTTTTTTTGGCGCACCGCTGTGGGATGTTGTGTGAGATGAGCAGTCTTACCTGAATCTGGGTGAATCTTTTATACATTCTTCAAAGTCTACCGTCATTTTTGTGTTTTTGCTCGTGTATTCCCACGTCAGTCTACAAATGTCATTGCCCGCGGCGAGACGTCGCTTGAACCGAGGTGATGGTGACTGGTATCCGTTTGACGCGCAGCGGTGTGTCGCCCTTCTCCCGGTGGCACGGTGACACAAAATGCGCGGCAGGCGAATTACTACAAGTACACTTCGCTGCAGCATGCAGCTCGGGGCGGTGACAGACCTTTCCGTCGGTCCCATACCTTATATG